GTTAAGAGAACCATGGCTATGAATGAGCAGGATGATTTTAAAATTTAAAATTTTGATTTAAAAATTTTAAATGATTTTAAAAATTTAAAAAATCATTTAAAATTATTTTAAAACATTACATTTATATCTATCTATCATCATCATCATCATCATCATCATCATCATCATCATCATCATCATCATCATCATCATCATCTCCAGGTTCCCACAGTGAAAATAAGATGAATCATTTACTGCTGCTCACTCTAATTCTATTGGATTCTGTAGTTATCTGTGGATATTTTAAATAAAATACTAAAGCAAAATAAGGTGTGTGGGCGGGGGGGGTCCTAGCCTTGGGACCAAGGTGCTTTCCATGGCTGCAGCTGCTGCTAAAACCACCTATTTCTGGCTCCACCCCACAAATTGAGCATCCCTTCTCAGTTTGAACTCACAGGACAGGCAGACTGAGTTTGAGGAACATCCCACATTCAACAAAGATCTGATACCAGAAGATTTTTTAGGTCATAATCAGCACTATAAATTGTATTTGCAAACAGACTGGAAGCCGGTGCGTTGTTGACAACAAAAGTATTATTCTGCTGTATCACCTCTTGCTCATCAGCAATCAGTCTGCCACATTCTGAGTCAACTGCAGTTTCTGGGTAGTCTTCATAGGCAGCCCCAAGAACAATAGCTTACAGTAATCTAATCTTGTGGTTATGACAGTGTGATTCAGTGTCACCAAGCTTTTGCAACTGGCACATAGACAAGAGCTAGAGAAAGGACTCCTGGCCATGGTCTTCACCTGCTGATCAGTCAGAAGTTGTGAATCTAGGAAAACCCTCAAGTCATGGATTTGCTCCTTCAGGAAAAAATGCATCCCCATTTCACAGCTATCGCTGGTGTAAGCAAAGAGGCTGGTGATTTTGGAACAGTAACTCCATCTTGTTTGGGTTCAGCTTGAGCTTGCTTTGTCCCATCCAGTCTCTCACGTCTGACACACTGGGTAAGAACATCCACAGCATTTTCTGCTTAGCTTGGCCTGGATATACATTGCTGGGTATCATCTATATATCGATGACTGACTTCTCCCAGCAGTTTCATATATATCTTGAATAGCATGAGGAAACTAAGTAAAAGCCTGTAGCATCACAGAAGAAAGTGGCCAAAGGCAGTTCTAGGAGACCCTGGTTCATTTATAGTTTTAGTCATGGAAGCTCATTGGAAGACTTTGGGCCAGTCGCTCTTTTAGCCCAACTTACCTCACAGAATTGTTGTTGGAGGAAGAACAGACCTTGTACAGCCCGTAGATATAAACATATGATATACAAATACTGAATACTAAACACCAACTGGATCCTTCCACTGAGGAATAAGTGAAACCACCATCAAACAGTAGAGATTAGACCCTGGATGGAATTGTCTAATATGGCTGGATTAGTAGACGGCTTAATCAAGAAAAGGTGCACCACCACCTCTTTCATAGCAGCAGGGATGACCCCCTTCCTCAAAGAAGCATTAATCACTTTTCAGATCCAATGAACCATACCTCCCTTGGCTAGCCAAATAAGCCAGGAGGGGCACTGATCCAGCATGAGGGTGACAGAGCTCATATTACCAAGATCCCTGTTCATTTCATCTTGTTAGTCACTTGAAGTAGGCCAGATCAAGAAACAAGCAAGGCAGGGATTCCAGGAATACTCTTCACTGTAGTAAGGTAAAGGCAGAATCTTGAAAACCTTCTCACACTTTCCTCTTTTGCAGGACTGTGTAATCTTTTCTGCAAGTCCCCTTTGACAGCTCGCTCATTCCTTCCCTATCCAAAGGGTCAGCTCTATATTTATTTCCTATCCCCAAAGTCAGCCCCTTCATCCTGCATAGCTGTTTGGAGACCAGCAGGCACTTCAGGTTCAGCATACAGGAGAGGCCATTTGGGGTAATCACAGAAAATGCCCTTGTCCTCTCCGAGTTCCAGAAATTGATGAGATGTGTGTGGAATGGCCCACTAAATTACTGGGAAAATCTTAAAGCCCTGCTGGAAACAAGTGGGATGCACTCTTATGGAGGTGGATGGTGCCAACAAACTGTTATGCTGACCACGACAAACTACATTCCTCCAAATACCTTAATATCTACAAATTCTATCCTTCCATATTCACTCCATTGTTCAGCTTCCTTCCTTCTCCAAATATCAGGTCCTCATTTGTCTCCCACCAAACAGTTTGGACTACCAGCACTACTACTATTTCAAAATCCTCTTTTCACACTGTTACAATGGGAGATGAATTCAGAAAATGACAAAATATTAATAAGCTTCTTTCATGCCATGGCAGCGATTTTCATCTGGTCACCATGATGGGAAAAAGCCCTTGTCATTTCATCCTTAAAGCTTATCATTTTTAATATCATTTTGTCTTTAAATCCACCCTATGAGATAGCTGAGAGTGTTTAATCCAAGCAGCTTGATAGATCAGATTTTTGAAGCCAGCCTGACTTTCTCTCTTCTTCCTATTTTTCCCCAGATACTCCTATGATGTTTTAAATGTTTCTTCAACCTCAGGAGCAGGGCATAGGGAGATGCTGTGCAAATATTTAAAAAGCTATGTTTTACATTATACTTTAGTGGAGCAGGGATAATTTATATTCTTGAACTGGCACTAAGGATTCAATCCTCCTACGCAAACATACATTGATATTATAAGCAGGTACAACATAGGGCAACCCATATTTTAACTTCAGTCATGAAGGAAACTAATGACCAGCAGAACCAAATGGATCACTTCTTCTGTCTCTAAGCTGGTTTTGAAAATGTAAGTAGCTATAAATGGGCATGTAATTTGCGTTGTTGCTTATGATTAGCATCATGAATGAAATAATGAACCTATCTCATACAACTGTTTTCTCCCAACTAGGTTGAGAAATGAAGACCTATTAGGAATCATTGAAGGAACTAAGTGTTTCATCTGGAGAAAGTCAATGGAGGAAATGAAAGCCATTTGCTGAACAGCTGTCATACAGGGGATGAAGACTTATTTTCTGTTGCTTCATAATTAAAATTTGCAAGGAAAAAATCTGCTTAAATATTAGAAGAAATGTTCTAATCATAAAAGCTGTTTGACAACGTAAGAGAATCCCACTGGCAGTAGTGGGTTCTCATTTCTAGAAGATGTAAGTAGAAGCTAGACAGTCCCTGTTACGGGTGTTGTAATTACAAGATTCTAAAATTGTTTTGTCCTAGGTAACCTCCAAGATTATATTCCAGTGCTAAAATTCTAATTGCGTATAGTCTAATACTTTCCTTCCTTATCTACAGTGATTTTTCAAGTTCTGATTTAGATATCTTCCTGAGACTTGCTATTTCAGGTTTTTAGCTGGAGTTGCCAGCACTGAATCTGGACTTCTTAATCAGACACAAACATACACATACACAAATATAGTGTCTTCCTTGAGATATGAGCTACTTTGCTATATTAACTGTATACTAGCAGGCTAGTATTTTTTTCAGCTCATTCAACAATCCTGGGAAAGTTACATGGGATTTCAGAATAATTTACATTATCAAGAAATATTCAGAATCTTTAAAAAAATTCATGTAAAGCATGAAAAATCCAGAGCATCTGTTTCACAGAAAACTAAGCTGGGGTATTCAATAATGAGAACTTGTTCTGTGCAAATTCCACAGAAGCAGGCAGCTGAAGAAGCGATGCACTGGAATTTTCTGCATGAACTCCATTGAAACAGAATAGAAATACCTGATTTTTTTTTAAATTCAGATACAAATTAAACACTAAATGCACACATCACTTCAACTCTACTGAGTCTGACTAATACAGCAAAGGAGAAAACTCATTATTGTTTATTACCATGTGTTAGTTGTTGCCTATATAAATGTGTAAAAGACAAAATGAATTTCCAGAAACATAAGGAACCTGAAAGATATATTGATTGAAATGACACATCCCATTCATAGTGCAAAACATGTCACTTTTTAAAACAGACTGAGTTGGCATGCTATTATAACTAATAGTATGCCAATTATTTTGAAACATGATTTATCAATGAATCCATATATACTCTCTCTCTTTTGAAAATATAAATAAAAGAATGAGGCCAAATGTTAGTGTCCAAAGAACTAAGGAATTGATTCTGCATCCTGGGGAAAATAAGAAAGTTGAGATATAAAGGCAAATGTGAATGACATACCTCCTTCAAACAATTTTATTATTTGTAGAACAAAAAGTTGCACACACAGACAAAGACAGCAACACAGTTAAAAAATAGCTTCACAAATTATATACAGTAAATAACTCAGTGGTTTAACATTTTAATTTTGTAAAAAGCAGTAACATACATACGTCAGGTCTACTCAACTTTAACTGAAGCCCAACACAACACAAATTTAAAACAAAATTTATTTTAAGTCCTCCTTAATTCTGAGAAAATTAAAAGCTTCCTCCTTCCACAATGAAAAAAGAAAAAAAAATCCCTCCAAACTTTGGTGCTATTCACATCCAATATGAAAAGCCCTGTGCTAAGTAGGCTCTGAATCTATCACATTCAGGACTCACATTTGCCAGACAACTTGCTATTGTATGACATAAAACATTCAGAACTTACAAAAATAGTACTGAACTGAAAGCAGCCAACTTCAAAACCAGAATATATACATTTACACCTGTTTGTTTTTGAAAGGTGCCTCAATCACATTGTGAACGTTTGCTTGAATTATATACAAAATATTCTCTGTGTAAAAAGGTTAGACTTTGCCAAAATTCTGTACACACATGCTGCAGAGATTTACAATCTGACCCTTAAAAAAAAGGCCCTAGCACAAACCCTGTGGAACTAAATGGGGTCAGCGCCAGCAACACAGTTCAAGGACTGGGACTCTAACCCATCGTTTAAGGCAATAAATATTCCTGTTGCTTCTCCTTAAACACTCACTTAGTTGGGAATACAGCTCAACATGCAACGATATTATAAACTCAACTTCAGAGTGAGACTTGTTCTGCTGAAATTGTCTGAAACGAATTATTAATAAGCAAACATCTTTCATTTATGATTTGTGAGTTGCAAGAAACGTGCCGTTTACTTAGGACATGTAAGTATCAACTCCAGATTGGAGACTATATGCATTTGTTTGGAATGGTGTGATTAAGATCAGTTGGTCTTCCTCATGATGGTAGAAAAAGCCCTCCGCATAAACTGAGTAAATCTGCTTTAAAACAGCCATAGCCTGGGCAATCTCTACTCGCATAAACTTACAATATGGGAAAATAAAGCTCATGGGAGATGCTGCAACAAATTTGATATGCAGGGTATTTTCTGCAGCTTCATTGCCCTGATTGTCGCAGTATCATGTATTACGATTCTCTGCCCATGTTATACTGAGTGCATACACGAGCTACTCGCATAAGCTCTTTGTCCCAACTGAGGCCGTTCCAAAATTCTCAAAAACACTTCTGAAGCCTTGCTCTCTAAAGACACATTGCAATGGTTCAGAAACAAATCCATATAGAATGCTTACAGTGAACATCTAATTCACCTTAATGCTCTGACTGGAAAGAAAAGTGAAATGAAAAAAGAGAACCCAAACAGGCCACAATATCTTACATGCAGTAGATATTACAACTGCTCTTGCATATGCTGACAGTATTTAAGGACATGATAGAACACCCCAAATTCACACTTAGAAATATCCCACATGGTTTGAAATGCAGTATATATATTCATATACATAAGTATTCATTTGTACTGTATATATTTACATACATGTACACAAAACCACCCTGATGTTTTTAAAAGGCCATATCACGAAACAGAAGGTATGGATTTAAGGTTCTGAATATTAGAATATACTTTCTCTTTACAAAGAAACCAATATGCATACCTCTGTATGGTGTAAAGCATATTGACAAAAATATTCTGTTACTAACATTACATTAAATAGATGGTTTTATAGGTTTCCTTAATAATGAGGTACATATCTAGAAGACGAAGAAGCTTTGATTCACAAAAAATAGATAGCTGTTTGTAACAATTACAGTTTTTAGCCCAGAATGGGAAGAAGTAGCAAAATGTTATAAATCTCCAAGGACACAGAGCACCTACTATATTAGCTTAAAAAAATATTCTTTTTTTCAGAATGAACTAAATGAATGCATTGTCCTTTTTTCACCTGACCCTAGCCCACCCCTGTCCTTTTTCCATATTTATCTTTTCCCCCTTTTGTTTCCAGCTGGGGGTTTCTTCAGCTGGAGAAGTTGTCCTCCTGTACCAAAACTTGCAGAGGCTGGATTGGACACCCCAAATGTCAGGCCAGCAGATGCTGTGATGCCAGGATTGCTGAAGTTAAACCCAGATGTGCTCGAATTGCCAAAGCCTTGTAAAGGAGGGGAAAACATTTCGATGTGAAAAGATGTGACCACACTAAGGACAAAGGACTTTGAGTTTTTTAAAGTGTGAAATGTGACCTATATTTCAGCCAATATTATAGGGAGGCCAAAAACTAACATTAGGTCTATTCAAACTTACCGTGGACAGAACATAGGTTTATGGGGTTTGAATTTTTGAATTTAAAGAGCACTTGTTAAACTTTTCAAATCAACTGTAATCTTTAGATCAAAAACAAAGTAACTCTCAGAAGATTATCAATCTTATCACAAGGTAAAATAATATACAGATAGTCCTCACTTAATGACAATAGGGACCAGAAAATTGGTTGCTAAGTGGGGCAGTTGTTAAGTGAGTCACCATGTGACTGGACCTGATTTTACAACCATTTTTATGATGGTCGTTAATTGAATCACTGCAGTAGTTAAGCAAATAATGTGGTTGTTAAATGAATTCAACTTCTCCAATGGATGTTTTTTTCTGGAATTCACTTAACATTTCCATGTGATTTGCTTAAACAACCATTGTAAAAATGGTCGTAAAATCGGGTCCGGTCACATGATTGCAGGGGTGGGTGGGTGGGTGGTGCGATAGTTTGCAACGGTTGTAAGTGCGAGTACAGGTTGTAAAGCATTTTTCTGAGGCCATTGTAACTTTGAACTGTTGTTAAATGAATGCTGCTGTACC